TAAGCTGGTGGAGTCTGGCACCTGTTCTAAGGTCATAATGGGCCTCAGGGATATTCCAGTCCATTTTCTGATGTTTCACAATAAACCCCTTTATCAGAGACAGTGGTGCAGACCACCACCAAAGTACAGAAAAAGCCCAACGCACACTTAAGGGTTGCAAATTAACTACATAAGAGTTTGGGGGTTTTAAATAATCTTTTGGAACATTTCTTCCCTCTCCCCCCCCCAGGTTGACTTGTTTCCTAATCACAGAACTTATCTCTACAGATCAGACCAAACTGGAGGAGTCACTTAAAAATACACAAGGCTTTTTCTAGCATCTCATCCCATCACTTAGATGGAGCACCTCCATGCAGTTGGCATGTGCAAACGCTCCGGAGGTCTGTAAGCCACAAAGTTTGGTTCCATCCAGCATGTCCATATGGATTTGTATGGTTTCTCACTGCCAAGAGCGTCCTTCTTAAAAGTTGTGTGGCTGGCTAACAGAAATCCTATTGTGTACAAGATCACAGGTTTTTGGCTTTTTATATCTTTTACAACTAATGAAGGCAATTGGCTTCCAGCCTATGGAAACAAAATGGGCAGCAGGGGGAAGGTGTAAGTATCAGCTGCAAGTCTGCTCAGCATCAGCCTTGCATTACCTCAAGGTCTGACCAAATGCTTCTGTTCTACTACTACAGTTACAACCTGCATGGTGTGGAAGAGATGACAGGAGACAGTAGCCAATTCCAGTGGTTTACTAATCTAGCACACCTTAGAAGGCATCCAAGAACACAGCAAACAATACAAAAGCATGGAGACAAATCAAGACTAGACAGCCACCTCAAACACAGAGAGGCGAGACGAGGCAAACCTCCTCTGCAAACTGCAAGAAAGACTATCTCAAGCAAGAGATTACATTCCATTGGGTTATGAAGCAAACTTATTTAATCAGTTATCAAAATTGGTTTGAAGACTTCTTTTGGGGAGGAGTAACAAAAGAGTATTCTGTAAGCTTCTGTTAAGATACCAAAGGCTTTAAAAAAATCTGAACTTCATTTTGAAACAAACATTACCCTTTGCAATTTGCTCTCATCCATAAACCACGCAAGCAAATAAGCATACCTAATACCTTGCTACATCAGAAATTTCAGCTAATAAAGAAGGGCATGGGCACAGGGAGGAGAGGGAAGGAGTAGCACACAGAGAAAATATCTCTGTCATGTTTCGAACAGTCTAAAAGGGCTACCAATAAGCCTAGTGTGGAAGAAAACATGGCAGAACTATTTTTGTGATTCGGGCATTTACCATGAACATTTACAAGTTAACAACTAATCCTATCATAAGGCTATAGCTACCAAAAATCTTAAGTTGGGGAACTTCCATCACAACTAATTCAATTGCTGTCACCATGGGAGCGCACTTAATTCAACACGCTCATATGTTTAGAAGTCACCAGCATTCAAGAATGTATAGGAAATTTTTGGAAGTAAACAAATTTAACAGCTTTCCCTACACCACAGGTACTACATGGACCTCTGACATATAGTTTGCCCATTAGAACAGACTTTCTCTCATTCCCAAGAGCAAGATGACAAAAAAAACTAACAGGGAAGAAAAAAAGACATTAGATGCCCAAGGCTATAAATGGATACCTTAACATAAAAACTATTATGCTCTCTTACTGGTCATTTTAACAAGAGTTCGCACACAGAGTTAGATTTCTTCTTTACATCAGAATTTCTACAAAATAGGAGAGAATACAATGCAATACACATGTCCATAAATGCAAGATACAGTACAATTCACACTAATTTACAAATGGTTATTTACACTGTTGTATATACATATACAGTCAGACCTGGTTAATGAAATTTTTGTAAGTCCTTTTAAAATACAAATCAGAAAGTGTCAATGAAGGAATTCAAAGTTATGTGACAAGAGACCAGATATCATTCAGAAATCTTTAATGCTTTGATGACCTAAGAAATTAGCTGTGGATTAGCCAGATCTGACTGCAGAAATGAGAAGAAAAAAATTCACACTATTCTGCTTTACAAAAGCAACCAGGCCACTATGGTCTATTGACTTGATGCTATTTATGCAAGAATGCCCTTACTAATAACCCTCTTCATATTTACAATATAGGTTTAACTACAGTAAGGATTATTGGTGTGGCATTCATGCACTTAGCTTAACATAAAGGCAACAGAGTATCTTCTTGGCAAGTCACAGTCAAAATTACTACAGGATGTTTCTAGAGCTCAGTCATTTAAGTATCTTAACATTGCTATTGAAGAGACAGAGATAAATTAACTGAAACAAGTACATGTTCTCTAGTTCGGTGCTCTAGTACCTAACATACATTCAGAATGTCCTGTATTCACAGTTTCAAACTACCTTATGATCCGCAACACTATTGCAAACTACTGCTTCAAACTTAACATGTCTCGGGGATATCCCTTAACAAGTGAGAATATCAGAGTGCTACTGGCTCAAACTGATGTGGAAAAAGGCTCAAGGTAACTGGCATTTCATTTTGTAAAATTTTTACAGTATTTCCTTAGAACTTAACAGGAATTGTTTTAATCTGCACTTGTCTTGAAAGAAAGCTGATGCAAAGCAGCATTTCAGTGTGTAAAATGAATTTCAACATGCAAAATGAAAGCTTCTACCAGTACTGCAAAGTCAACCACTGTAACCTGTGATAACCCTTGTGCTTCTTTGAAGTGGCTCAGGAAAAGCTTGCAGTATTTACTACCTGCTTCAAAGTGCTTTTATGAGATTCAGTGGAAATTCATTCCACAAGGAGACTGAGCTGCACTCATGAGGAACTTTGGCTCTGCAGAAGCAAGCTTCCACTCCTACAGTTATTGCTACTTGAGCTATACAAATAAAAATACTATTGAAAAAAATTACACTAACTCCCAACTAAAACAGTACTGGTACCTAAAAAGGGAATGTGTCCTGCTAACTGTTGGGAAAGTTAGGAGCTGTCAAGTGCTGGGTTTCCCAGGACCAAGTGAACTTCTCAGCCTTTTTCAAAAATTTCACAACTACAAAGCAACACTGCCAGAAATAAAGCCACCACTTGAAGAAAATAGGAGTTTAAATATCTTTATCAATCTTACTTCCAAAGCAGATCTTGCTGAACTCAAAGGAACTACAAAGACAGCAGGGTATTACTCAACATACACCAATAATATCAACAGGAAGAAAGTACAGAAAATTAAAGTTTCCAGTGCCTTCATGAGCTCTAGCAACATCCTTGAAAACTGCTACAAAGGAAACTGTGTCTATTTTAGTTATTTGTTTCTATTTAACTACCAAGAAAATGTATCCAGTATAGTAGCCTCCAGCTAATAACTGCTACTGAAAAAGGTTACAGAATTTCAAGTTACAAAAAAAAAAGAAACAAAAAAAAAACAAAAAAAAAACAAACCCAGCTCTTCCATTGGTATTGTTTTTTTAAGGTTTTGAGTGAAGGAAACAAACAAAAAAAAAGAAACATTTAGAGATGAATATAAACCAGAGGAATAAAAAAGTTCCAAACCTTGCTTTTGTAAAATAACAGAATGCCATTCAAAATGGTCTTTCAAGGTGAAAATTTTTCATTCACATCAATTTTTTGTCCTGAATCAATCCAAGCTTTTGCAAAGCACGTATATATATATATATGTGTACACACAGATACACATATACACACATACACACACAGCAGTGTGCCATAAAGCAGTTTGGAATAAATATCTTTGCTGGGGTCTGTACAACAGAATTCCCACAATATTTACTCTTCAGGTAAGTTTGTGTTTGCACCTGTATATGCACACACACAGACTTTGTACATGTGGGCACTTATGTGACCAAAGTGCAAAGCTTTTCAGAGTATAATTAGAGTTGAGTACATGCCTGCCCAACTCCACACTGCCTTGTTGGATTCTATTTTTCTGTTGGGGGTTTCTTCCCCTGCCTGCCCACCCCCCTTTCCAGATTTAAAGCCTCTTTTCCATGCAAACTTATACATTGTTTTGTTAAGTAAACATTTTCTTTTCAATTCACATTTTGCAATCCAGACCATTCTTGGTATAATAGCTTTAAGAAATAAAGAAAATCCATGATGATCAAAGCCCCATTGTTCAAGTCATGAACTTTCCCAGATTATCCTTCAAGCTGGAGACTTTGAAAGTAATTTGCTGCCACAGGAAACAAAAAAAAAACAAACAAAACAACAACAACAAAAAAAAACCAACCCAAACCCCCAGAAATACCAGAATCTTCAATTACAGGACCAAGTATTTAAGACTAGAATCCAAGGTTAGAAGGTGACAAAGCAAAAAGATGTCAGCAATACACAACTGTAAACCTAAGCGTCTTGCTCCCCAGTGCAACAGGATCTCTGTTCACTAGTCTTCAGTTCAATAGTCCATTCTGGTAGATACTGCTGAAGCACATCAAACAAAGACAGCAGAATAGCGTTCAAATTTAGAATCAAGTTTCAAAAATGTGATAGGTTTGGGATAGTGGTCTTTTGCTTTAGAAGTACACTTAATAAACAAGCAGCTTTCCCGCAGAAGTTAGAGACAGTACGTTGCTCATCTAACACTATGATGGTACATACCCTCAAAAGAGTCTTACAGCCACAGAACTTTCACGTTTCTACAGCTTAGAAGAAAAAAAGAAAAAACCCAAATGTTATTTATCATTTCAGCAAACTAATTAATTCTATATACAGGAAAAGTACCATCATATGGAAAGCTAAGTTTTTCTTAAGGGAAAAAAAAAGAAAAAAGGGACAAAAAATAATTCTCACCTTTCGCCCTAGTTACACCACAGTGGTGATCTCAAGTCTATCATCACTCATTTTGCCTTTACACATCTAAAAGGTTAATATTCTCTGACCATGTTTTCTTTAATATAAGTTAACACAACTTCAATAAAATAAAAGTTGTTAAATGAATCCTTTGGAACAACTTCACTGTCTGCACCCAACTCTTACAAAAAAAACCTGATGAAAGCAGCAATGGAATCATGTTAAACTTATAATAAATAATTCACATACAACATGTTAAATTACAAAGGATTAAATTGCCATTTCTACAACTTTTCATAGATTTAGCAAGTTTCTAATCCATTTTATATCAACAGCAGTACGTATGCTCTTCATATTAAATTTAACATTGAAGGACTGTTTAGAGGCATTATTTATAAAGCAAAAACAACGAAGTGAGCATTAACAGAACTTCAACAAATGTTTAGCTTTTTTCCAGTATCTGTTCTTAGAAAAGATTCAGGGGTTCTCTATCCACTTGGTAAGTTCCTTCCTCTTCATTATTCAGGAAGAGTTAATGTCATGACCTCCAGCTTCATTTTGAAATACTGGTTAAAGCGAACAATCGCATACCTATTTAAAGGGAGAGAGATTGAAGTTAAGAGCAGGTAACTCCTTACATGATAGCTAGGACTAGTCAGAAGTCCACCTACTACCCAGTACCCTGTTTCCAACACTAACCTGTAGCAGCTGCCAAACGAAGAAATTAAGAACGCAGCAAGCATATTATGGTACTTCCTCACCACCACCCCTGGTCCACCTTGCTGCAGCTTGCAAAACAGATGCTGTGCCAGAGTTATCAAAGGCAGTGCTTTCCCATTTAATAGTTCTTAATAGACTGCTCAACAACTGACAACTGCAATTCCAGATAATTCTGATCTTGATTATTGCAAAAAATCACTTTAAACTGACAAGCTTTTGGGCTCTACCACCTCTGCTTTAGCTTGGGTTGTTTTGCCATCTAGCGGTGACAAGTACTTATACTTGAGAATAACTGATCACAAGCACAAATTCACATTTGTCCCAATTACAAAATAGCACAACTAAGCCTAATAAACTGGGTTAGTCAGTGCAAAAGATTTTGAAGTGGGATCTTATACCAAGCTAAATCATTTATTTTATCACCTTGCCCAGTACTCAGTAGAGAGATGAATCCATCTGCTTGTGGTCATGAAAGACTATTTAAAAAAAAGCCCAAGACACACATCTACCTAGTGGCTACCACCAGCATCTCAGGAAATAAAACTTCACATTCATTGGCATTATAAAGACCCTTTAAAAAATATTCAAAATTTCCAAGATCAACATTCCAGGCAATAAGTAGTACAGACGAGCAGTTTTGTACAAGAGCCCCGTTTCTTGACTCTTGCAATTGGAAACGTAGGTCTTGTGTCTGCCATAGGACAGTGCACTGACCACTTTGCTTTTACACTTTTGTCTCTCTAACAAATAATGCTCAGTGCCCAAAAGCATTTGCTCCTCCATTATGTCCCTTGCCTTGCTACACCATGTGTTGTAGCCCAGAGGCACATACCAATTTAGAGAACTTTCAGTGACAAAAAGCACAGCTAGCTTTTACTGTCTTGTTTTCTCTTAATTTTTAAGAGTTATAGTCTGGTCACATTGATCAAGTCTGTTGCTCAGACCTTACAGCTTCTGGTAGCTGGAGTGCTGGACTAGGTGGCCCCACACATACCTCCCAGCCTCAAGTATTCTATGGTTATATGTAGCAAGCACGCTTACCCTAGAAAATCAAAGTCAATGGTGGAATATTTGGCTTGAATTAAAGCCCACAGACCCCAAAAGAAGTGGGAAGCCTGAAATGAAAAAAAATATTTGTGAAAGATGTTATTAAAATCCAACATGTAAGCATATTCTCACATTGAAAGTTATCCGTAAAAAGTCTCAAAATCAATCTTTTTTTAAAGTTATTTGATACTTCTTCATCAAAGAGTTTGGCAAAGTATTAAGAAACAATTACTGCCAATTGGAGGAATAAGTCCATTGGCCTCCTGACTCTCCATGTGTCATTTTCAGGAAAAATAATTGATAGCCTATTTCATAAATGCAACATTAAGTAGGCTATTGTACAACTATATACACTACATTAGAAAAACCACACAAATACAGCTATCATTCCTGCTGCTGCTATTTAAATATACATTATTTGACATGTATTCAGCTCCAGTGAGAATATGAAAATCCTTTTGAATCTTTGAATACAACCCTTAGGTCATCAGAACTACAACTCACTTTCATTACTGACTTAGACAAAGAGATATGATCTGTAGCTATGTAAGAGAGCTTCTGACTCATCAGCATTTACATCATACATTTCTCCTCTGTTCCAAACTTGCTTCCATTATGAGTGCAGATAAGTAGCCTGGAGGCCTATGCTCAGTTTCAGATTGAAAATATAAATTACATTAATATGTTTGTTAGTATACTTCAGATGAATAAATACACACACTGGCTTGATAGATAGTCTCCTTGTGGAAGACATTGGACCACCCAGGTTACAAATTGTTACTTCAGACTTCTGTTCAGTAAACAGCTGCTCACAGTAATTACCTAAATTGCTTCCTGAAGCTTGCATGTTAACACTTTACCAGAAGTGTAGAAGACGCATGCACACACACCTGGAAACACCTTGAAATATCAACTACTGTATGTACATGTGAATCTATCCTGTACCTCTAGAGAGCTTTATCTGACAGCAAGCAGCTTGGCATCTTACACCAGCATCCATTCACTTTAATTTGAGCTTTCTCTTAACAAAGTTTCCCACATTAACTGACACAAGAGCATTTGGCAGTATTTGCACATCATGTGTGGTCCAAAGGCAGGTCTTTTAACGGTTCTCTAAACACAACTTTAACCTCTTAAACAGTAGTATAACCATAGTTCAAAACTGACAAAGCAATGGTATATATTTTTAAACAGACAACCAACCTACTTAATAGCATATCCAACTTTCCTAAGTGAATGGGACAGCTGAATTCAACAGTAATAGTTGATATTTTTAAAGAGTAACAGCAAACAAGCTATTATTTTTAAGGACTTGTTTAATAATCATCTTTCTAGAGCGTGAACTGCATTTCCTCACTGCAATCATTAGCTTTTACCAGAAAACGGAAGGTAATACAGTAGCAACGGTGTGCCTGGATTAATTAGAGGACTGAAATAAGGCCAAACTGGCTTCTTAGCCTTAGTCCTCCTGTGACTAGTTTGGCATGTTACTCTTCAAGAGAAAAAGCGATCGAGCTATTGGGCAACTGTACCATTTCCCATCACATCCATCTAGCCTTGATCTTGTTTTGCAGGGAGGAAAACAAGAAAAATAATGTGAACCTGTAAAGGATCTTCAGAAACCACAGAGATGAAAATTTGAAAAAAAAAAAATTAAACAAAAGATTGCTTCTAGAAGTATACATAATTGGGACATTCAAAGGCCCAGTGCTATGCCTGTTCGACTTCTGAGGAACCGCAGAAGCACTTTGCTACAATTGAAATCAGTAAGGTGACCAAAACCAAATCTGAAAGCAACTCCCTGCTTGCCAAGACACTGCAGGCAAGTGAAGTTATGGCAGTACTGAAAGACTTTAGAGTTATATAGTTATCTGTATTTAAAATGGAAAATACAGTTAAAACACAATATCTCCTAGTATAACAAAATTTTATCTTATTTTAAAAAAGGCTTTTTAAAGTTGGAAGATTTATAGGTCTTTATGAAGCACTACCTTGCTGTCAAGAAAAAAGGTCATAAGCTCTAGCCAACTCAGGGAACTTGCCAGACCAATAGCCAGCCAATGGAAATATTCAATAAAAGCCCATCTTCTCATTTTCTGAATGCTCACTGGCTCTTTCACTAGGAATATTCTACAGAGAAGTTTTAACAAACACAGCAGAAACTTTCCATAGAACACACTAAGAAAGTTTTTCCTTTACACGATACAGTGCTCAAAAAAAAAATGGAAATTACATTTCCTTATAGAATAGCAGCCTTCTCTACAGTATTAAATATTCTAATCGTTTGTTACTTACCAGTGCAAACTGATTGACTTGGACATATAGAACTTCAACTTCTTTTTCACTGACTTCTGTGCCAAACCCTTTATATTCTTTGTAGGCCTCAAGGTAAGATCTGAGCCATTGTTCCTGTAATTTTCTGTTAGGATAAAGGCTGTAGTCTACCTCATTTACCCCTAGAGAAAGAAAAAATACCTATTAGAACCTTATGGTATCTCAGTAATGAGACTACAATCACATTACTGGACTACTTCCTCCTCCCCCAGCCCCAAACACACAGATTCGTATCGATAAGCATAAATATTTTTACTTTGATCTATCAGTTACATGTTGGCACGAATTTCTCACACACAAATGAGAGCATTCAACATAGCAGAAAGATTTGCGCTGTACATGTTTTCAGCCACATATGTAGTCTACTTCTATTTGGAGATTCGACAATTCTGGCTTTAGAGAGAAGCCTCAACAGAAAGTATTTGCATTATGAAATAAAAGGCATCCCAAACATGTCAGACAAATTACATTTCATAGGAAAAGGGACTTGCATGCAACAATATCCAAGGCTGAATCCAGATGTATATACACTGTCACCAACTAGGCTCATATTTGAGAAAAATGTATTAGATGTCTACCTCTCCTGCACAAACTATTAGTGTAGTTACAAGTTTTATCTCCATAACCACTCCTTCTGACCTATTTTTCTTCCTATACTAGAGACAGTCACAGATCATATGGAGTCTTGCCACAAGTCAAACCTGGGTCACAGTCCACTCCCACTAGCTATGATTCCCAAAGGATGTGAAATTCTTCTTAAGTCTTACTTTTACGAAGAGTGCAATTCCCTCATATCTAAACTCTTTACTGTGTCAGATCCACTTATATTTAGCTTTAAAAAAAAATTTATAATCTGATTTTTACTGGATGCATAGAGAGTAGCAGAGGTGAAGCACAACTGTTCTTCATAGGCAAAGAAGCACAGGCAAAGCCACATGAGCCTGCCATTTGCAACTGTAGAACCACACAGTACATTCTCAATATACACTGCTGCAAGGGATGCATTCACAGTATTTCATTACAGTAGGCTGTCTCTGCTGTGTCATTTCACAGGAGGATATTGTCAAAGCTGTGAGTTCTGTATCTAACTACTAAATAAACTTAGGACATGATATTCCCTTTTCTAGCTTAGTAGAGCTGCAAAGGAAGGGCATAACTGGCCTGCAAGATGAGATATTAACACATCTTGATACCATCATGTATCTAGATAGGGAAAAAGCGAATGTGCAAGCATTAGGGTTTGTTGGTGGGGTTTCTGTTTGGGTTTTGTTTCAGTTCTTGTTTCGTTTATTGTTTGACTGGGGTTGCTTGGTTTTGGATATTTTTTTTTAATGAAATCAGTTTACCTTTACCTCAGAAATCCACTTTTACCTGCAAATTCATTGAAGTGATTTCCAATGTCATAAGCCAGGTAGTTGTATCCAGAGTACTCATAGTCTATGAACTGCACATCACCTATGTGAGACACAACATTAGCAACATCAGAGTCCATGTCAAATGAAGTCATAGCCCTAATCCTTTGTTGTCCTTTGAAGTTTTGCAGAGAAGCAGAACACACCCATAGTTGTGCCCAGTTGTGTGCACTGAGACATTTCAGGGTAAGGCTGTGATTTTTATATTAAGACTTCCATGAATATTCATTCAAGAAAGCTCTTAAATAATTACTTAGAGCTTATAGTTCTGTTTCTTAACTCTGAATAGCAGAGTTTCAATTTTAACTTCTACCACATGAGGGCATCCTCTACCTTTAAAATAAGAAATACAGTAGAGGATCTTCTATTTAAACTTTATGTAGAAATAGCACATCAATTTTTCCCTGACTTAAAAGAACAGTCCTGTTTATTCTCACAAAAGTGTGTAACCACAGTGGACTAACACATCACACCATGTTGATATTTCCTGCTTTCTCCAACTGCACTTACAAAGCAAGACCATTCTTAATCATTGCTTTTTTTAACTGACTTAAACTACTCTGAAGAAACCATCAGGCTCCTCAAGTCCTCAAAACTATGAAACTATGTACTCCTATGTAAACAAGGGCTGTTAAAGCAGCAAACAGCCCCAAATGTTTCACATATTACGTTTACATGTAGTGAAGCTGAAGAAAATGCTTCACTCAGGGTAACACAGCATTGAAGCTGCTCAAGAACATTTACAGCACATGAAACAAAGCATTAACAAGATAAATTAGGTAAAACTACAGCTCTTGTATTTGAAAGGAAACCAACAAAATTATTAAAAACATCAGACAAGGAAGCAATGAGTTAAGAGCTCTTTGCATTAGAACATTAAAAATTAAAATCTTACATTTCCAACTGCTATGCTGAAATGGGCAATTTTTAGTTGCACCTTTCTCTCTCTCTGTACCCATTCTTTTGACAACTACCTATGTATTTACTCAATAAAGCCATATTCCTCATATTACAATGAACAATCTTGGCATGACTTAAAAAATGCTAGCTTTCAGAATTCCAGGTCAAAAAAAAAAAAAAAAAAAATCAAGAGTAATTAATGTTTCCTAGACTAAGAATTCTAAGCATCCAATATACTGCCCTCTCCTTAAGGTTTATGGGTATCACACATATCAAATACCAGTTTTGCCAAATAAACGTCCTGAGTTATCACAGAACAACTTTGTTAAAAGTGTTCCTTCCTACACAGTTCATCTTTACCATATTTGAAATACTAACACACTAATGTCTTCCAGATGGATAAAACTTCTCATTTAAGCACTTATAATGGAAGTGGAACCACAGAACACACACACAAAAAAAAAAAGAAAAAAAAAGAATCATTTAATCACAGTCCTCCCAAGTCAGAGTTTACCCTTACTCACACAGTAAAGGAGGACTGCTTACTAAAGGTTATGAGGTTAAACCTTTTAGGCTCTAACAAGCCAACATGAAAGAGGCCTGGAAAGTGGCAAGCTCCTCCCACGGAAATCTTTTTGGCAACGCAAAATTTAGGTTTTCCGAAACTGAAGGGACAAGAAATTTTACACCAGCGGCAACAAGATCTTAGAATAATGCCACAGCTTAACTTCTGCCACTGCTTGACATCCATATGCTTGTGCTTCTCACTGGTTCTTCAGCAGTACTTTTAAGAAGAAACTCCTGCAAGCTACAAGCAAGTCAAAATATAAAGCCCAACCCTGGTCAGTATTCTGCTACACTACTGATCTCCTGAACCCCTGAATATTTTATGTTTATTGTATTTACAGGGGTATTTTTCTTCCTCCCTCACACAAAATACAACCACAAGTAAAAGTCTACTTGAAAAATACCAACACAAGAAAAACTTCAATATTTCATGTGCAAATTTCATCCTGAACATACTTATGTGCTACTCTTAGGTACAGGTAACATTTAAAACTTACTTCCAGATATAAATGATATTACATAGAGGTGATGTTGTTACTAGGCACTCTTGTATGGAGAAATAAATGCTTGTGAAAAAGTGATAGGATAAGCCTTCAGTCAGTGCACAAGTAGCACAGTGCATGGCTCCACAAGGCAGTAACTGCGGCATGCCTAATCTGTAGCAGATGAAAATCTGGCAAACTCATTTGACATGACAAAAGTTCAGTGAAAAGTCCTGCATTTTTACTGTTCTTTTAGACTTGTGCTACTGTGGAACTCAACCTTACATTTAATTTTTGCATGAAGGCTCAAAATAAAAAAAAAGCACAGTTCTATCTGTGAAATAAAGAAAGCAAAAACTTTAAAGTTTGCTATAATATATAGTCTACTTCATAAAAGCATAATGCATACATGTCCCAGCTCTCTTGTTTTAGAAGCAGAAGCAGCTTCGCATTGTTTAAATATCCAGGGTATTAGAGGTTATTTTTAAGATTTAACACAGTTAAAAGATTAAACTGCAATTTAAGATACAAGATTTAACATAGAAAAGTCACTCCTAAAAGATATGGCTTAGATTAGTAGTTAAACAGCTAGCTTTTGTTTTGAAGTTTCTATTAAGTACACAGAACTTGTACATCCCACCATATCACCGGAAGCACACAGACCAACAAGAGACACTATTCTAAGTGCATTTGTGTTTTATTGAAGTGAGATGTGATTTAAAACTGAGCTCTATTATCTCTCTGAAGAAACTACTGTTATCAGTAGGACTAGAGATAGCAAGAGTATTGAGTATTTCAAGCTGAAACATGTTCCTTTCTTCCAGAGGTCTCCTAGCATAGGCAACATGCAATGTAATCTACAAAAACCATGTAAAGATACAAAACAGAATACATGTATCCATGTACCCAAAATTAGTTTTTTAAACAGATCAAGTGGCAGCCAATAGCACATCTGCTAGATGATCTCAGGAATCTGAAAAGTAAGAGAACAATGACACCTTCTGGCTGCTCTTCACTTTCAATGATTTAAACAAGATAAACACTTTCAATGTGCAAGTCCTAGCTGTAGTTACCACAGCAGAATGACGTATCCTGAGTTCTCTCCCATCCTGTTCATCAGGTGAGCCACTGGGGCCCTAGAAAACAGCTTCAGTAAAGATAATGATCTATGCTATGAACACATGTGAAAATTCACAAAGGGGTCACATACCCAAAGAATAATTTTAGGTCTAAATACCCACTTTAGCTTTGCAAAACAAAACAGGTTTTTAGATCAAAACCAGAAGCCTTAAACATACCTCAGTCTTCAGAAGCACTGAGCACCCACAGACTCCTACCAAAGATCATAGAAAACATTGGGTAGGCAGAGGGAATAAACATAACAAAACTAGCCATCAACCTTCACACTTAACTTCCTGGCAGGTGATTTTAATACATTCAAAAAGAGCACATACACATACAGACAAAAATTCTGACACTTGGTCTTACTGAATAGCAAATATTTGAATACTCTTAAAACAGCAGATATTTTTGGAAACTCTCAGGTCACACTGGAAAAAAAACAACCCAAACTTTAAGAGCATCAGAACATACGGTCTATAAATAAGCAGTACCAAGCACCAAGCATATTTTGACTATCTTGATGTCCCAGTTGTAATTAAAACCAACATGAATCTCCAAGTTATATCCTTCAAAGATTAGATTACACTGATAATTATGAGTTACGTAAAATAACACTCACAAATTTTCATATCCTGAGTGACTGAAAACAGACATTAACAAAACAGCAAGACAGTTCTCAGCCACAGCATGAGCAAATTGAAATCAGATGAGTGAAACTCCACTAAATGAAGCTAGCACTCAACGTGCTATTCCAGTCTCATAAATAAAATTTAAGAGCCTGAGACTGATTCTTCTTAAAAACAGTATGTGGCACAACTACAATTTTTCTTTCAAGTCTGAAAACTTAAGACTAATTTACTGCAGAGAAAAGTCTAAAGCAAAGCACTGGGACAAGCCATAATCATTCTAACTACCTTGTACAGGTGTGTTAGTATCTGTTGCTAGTCTGTAGCTTAACCACACACACACACCCCTCTCAGTAAATGTTCAAATCAAGCATTCACAAACAACGTGATAGAGTGTTTCTAAAACTAATAAATTTTGTTTGTGCCAGCTTCTGAAAAGCCAAATGAGCACTACCAGCTTTGCATGAACTTTACTGAGAAGAAAAAAGTAGTTAATCTTACAAAGACCATTTCTCTCTTTTAATTCTACTTTAGGGTCACCAAGGTCTTTTTAATACACAGAAGCCTTTGTAGATGGGAGAACAAATTTAGCAAGAGTACAGCATCACCAAAGCTGTTAACTACCTTAATACAGTTTGATGCCATTCCTAATGAAGCGCATCTTTAAAGATTCTGTTTTGTGTTCTTGCAAAATTATTTGCATACAAATAAAAGCTTTTGCTCTGCTACACAGAATTCCAGCAATACATTTATTTACAGCTTCTACTTCTAAAATTCATGCTCCAAGACTGATACTTTTTTTTTTGCTCTGTAGCAAGTACACTATTAAGAAACAGCTTTCAAATGAAAAATTATTCTTTCTACATATGGCATTGAGGTTTGGTTACTATGAAAACAGTACCTGCTGCACCCAGACTGCAAAAGTTTTACAATACAGTACACTTGCAACATTCAAACCTAGTTTGATATATTTATTTCATATTTTCAAGTCCCCCCCCAAACTGTTTATAACCAGCTTGAAGCCAAAGCAGTTCACATACCTCCTCCTCCTCCCCACCCTGCCCCCAAACACTAAGCACTCACACACTTGTTATTGTAGGATTGCTCATAAGTGATGCACTGCTGGCATTGGGTTTTTTTTTCCTTCATTCTGTTTACAAAAAGAGAAGCATATAGCATTTGTTTTTAAGGTAAGAACTTCAAGCCTACTGATCACAATATGAACCTTTTAAAAGAATTCCTCCTTTATTTTTTTGCAGCATGGTTTTACTATGAAAAATTACTATAAAAAAATCACTTTTATCTCATTGGGTCTGTTCTGGAATGCTAAAACTCAAGACAGTTTCAGTACTGAAAAAACCCAGAGTAAAAAAAAGGCACAGAACAAACAAACAAAAAAAACCCCAACCATTTTTGGTACTGCAAAATCACAACTCCAATGTCTGCAAGACCACAAATTGATGTTTTTTTTGCCTTCCATGTTTCCCCTACTTATTTAAGCAGAACTATAACCCATCATTGAAACTAAGTAAACCCACTGAAGTTTGGTACTGAAGTCTCAGAATTTAAGATTTATGTTAATAGCATTGTATATATACACACATACGTATGCATACACCTATAAACCAGAAGCTCCAAGAATTCCCTCCACAAGTGGTATTACACAGAGGGAAACTTGTATTCAAACCACTGAGTTTATTTTCTCAATTCACATGCATTCAGTGCTATCTGATGCAGAAACTGGTTATACATACACAGCCAGTTTTCGCACTAGAAACAACTCCAGCATCTTTGTATTGGTTTGTATTCAGAACTTACGGTGCATAAGCTTAAGATGTCAAAGACCAACAATGACTGATAAACTTCATTTCCATTCAGTCATTTACTTCATGCACTTTGGTCTTCCACACCAACAATTTCACTAAACTGTCACAAACTAATATGAAGGTACTAGAAGGAATGGCATCCCCACTTTAAAGTAAAATCTTGATCTAATTTGTTAAATTTGTTGTACTCAGCTGAGCTCCGGTATTTGAAATAGGAGGAAAGCTGTGCATTCTAACTACACAATGGCCATTTTAGTATCACAAGTTTGCCTTTAATCAATTCATTTAGTAACCGAACCTCAAACCACTAAAAGAAATAAAAGAAACCAGGTTTATACAGAAATTTTGTAAATTATAATGAAGGCAATTTTAAATAACATGAATTATGAGTTACGTTTATTAGAATAAAAGCAAAAATAATTTCTTTGCCAAGACATGTATTGCCTACAACTGTTCAAATAAAGTATGTAATTACAAAAGAAATCTTCAAGATGCCTATGTTCCTTATGCAAAAAATAATACTATGTTCAGTGACACAATTTAAGTATCACTAAGATACTTCATTATGAAACTGTCTTCCCATAATCACAAACCAGAACAATACACGTATTAAAGGAGATAAGGTCTTCAGGCTATTTTCTATGCTGGTATGATTATTTTTTCTTCCTAAAAACACTACACAACTGGAATAAAATTAACATGAACATTATGTACTCTGAAGTCAAGTCACACAGGCAGATTAATAAATTAATTGATTAAAGAAAAGGAATGCCAACACTCTTCCTCTGTAGAGAACATACAGATGAGAATTAGTTAATTAAGCATTTGCACAGATACCACTACCATTATATCGGGTCTCAAAAGCTCAAACTGAGTTCATTTGAACAAGTCAGTAAAACAACACCACTGACGTAGCAAATACAACTACAGCATAATCAAAGCTATTCACTACTTACTGTTTAGTTCAACACCTACCTCTTTTCTTGTTGTAAATAATATTCTTACACAACAGGTCATTGTGACAGAGTACCACTGGTGATCCCAAATTTGACAGTCTTTCCTTCATCCAGGCCATCTCTTCCTGAAGAACTTGAGGACTTGGAATGTCACTTAGAAACCTTTCCAGGTATAAGAAGTTTGAGACTTAGTATTTATCACAGTTGCTCCACACCAAGCATTTGTAATGAAATAACTTACCTGCAGCAACAGTCTAGATGAAAATAGTTCAATATACCTTCTCTGAAACCAAGGCACTCTTGCCCCTGGCAGAACAGCAGTCAAATGATTATTTCCCCCTTCCTCCCACCAAAAGCCCCAACTCTCTGAAAATTCTGTGCTGTAAACATGACAAAAAGTCAGGAGTACAACCTGAATACAATCCTGCGCATTTTAAAGGAGCAAAGATTGAAGGGGTTATGGCATGGATTTTATCAGCTTTTTTGCTCACATTACATTACTTCCTTCAACAAGAATACACAACAGGAAGTATTATATGTATTTATACAGAGGAAATAAAACTTTCATTTTTGGTTCTAGCCACAGAACTATTGGAATGTGATTAAATAGCCATTTTATCTTCTAGATTTTTCAATTAACTGAAGTTTTCAGTTTTCTTAAGAAAAAAAAAAAACCAACAACACAACTTTGTTAGAGCATTCTTTAATTACAATGCAGAATTCAGCAAGAAGCTGACATCAGATTTCCAGTTTCACAAAGAATGTTTTTAAGCTAGAATCTGCTTCCTAAGTGACATGAAGTTTAATGAAGTGTACAGACACTTCCACATTACAGTTTTCACTTAAACATATGAGCTCCGCTCCCAGAGAAACTTATCTTCAAATCAAGCTTGCAGCACAGAAATTTTATTTAGGTTAAACATGGCTCCTAGTTTTGCCATTCCTCTCATCCCAATCTTCCAGTGACTGACACTAGAACCCTTAGAAATACTTTATTTTTTTAAGTTCCTAAGGAAAAAAAATAAAAAGTTTTATTTACAACTTGAGAGTTACACTAGATGCTAAAACCAAAATGTAATTAAACTCTTAAGCTCCAGTGACAAAATCATTCACACTCTATGAGAGTGCGCATCTCGAATGATCTTTTCGTCCCCTGGATCAGAGCCTGGGAGGTGAAAAAAAGCCTTTCATTAACTTTACTTTTACATCACCGTGTTCTGAACAAATTCCTAAACTAAACAAATACAGGATGGCTAAGAGGCACAGGTTAGAAGGAACAAGTAGTACTACTGCAACTCCAGGAAACATGATTTTGGTATTTACCACAGAACACAGGTTTCAGTTTCAGACTAATGGCTCTCAAATACTGTTGAGACAACTGACTGAAGTAGTACATGATTTTACATTGGCTCTTTAAAAAGAAAAAGCTACCACCATTTAAGTGTACAACCAAGCCAAGAGCTATCTGTATAGATTCACAATATACAAATTGAAGACTCTCCTTATCTGATATATGTACATAGTGACTTCAGTAGACAAGAGTATGACAAAACTCAACATTTGACAGAGTTAAGTGTCTTGCATTACCACAGAATGTTGTTAAATATTCTTCTACCCCTCACCAGAAAGAATAACAACTCAAGAAACCAAATAAAATACCTACCTTTTATTTACTTCTTCATCTGCAAATTCTGTGGGTATGAGAGAGAAATATTTCCCCATCTTCAGCCACAGATTAGATTTAGGGATCCATCCATTGTGTGCATGAATAGTATGGATTTTAGCAAGCTGTCTGGCAATGAGTCTACAAAAAAAATAAGTTCAGCTTATTGTATTTAATATGCATCTGACAGTCTTTACTGCATTTTCCCCTATCAACAACAGAAAATAACTACAACACGTTTAACAGACATATTTAAAAAAAATCATCAAGGGAATCTGAATAGCAGCACAGCTGTAGAGTAGCACTTTTCAAGACTGGAAAGGTCACTAACAGCACACTACTTGAGAGAGGCACCGGAGTTCTGCTATAGTATATAGCATATATCACCTGTGTTTTCAGTTTATTCTAACTCACTTTTCTTTAGAAGAATTGACTCAAATTAGCTGCCATCCTTAGGGAAACACATTTCAGCATGAATACTGAATACATGGAAACACTAAATACATTGAATATATGCTAAAACTAAAATCTTAAGACATCGGCACTATTCGCTGCTAATAGTTTAGCAAATTGCATGGAAGACTATTTTGAATCTATTCACAAAAGGAACATATTAGAGCTAGAAGTATCTGCCTTACAAGTCCAGCCTCCTGCAACTCCACCATGTTAAATGATCTCCATAATGGCGATGTGCAGGTATTAAATACAATAAGCAAACCTCTAATGAGTATATAGTCTTCTGGGGAGGCAGCAAGGATCATTTGTTCAGCACTGAAATACCACGATAACTATAGAGGACAGTGAGCTGTCAAGAGTGTGAAGCATCAACTTAATGCAAGCTTATATATTTTTTCCCTGCTCATATTAGTAAAACTTGAGATCTTTAGACCTGACAGAACACCATAAATGCATCATAGGACTTGAATAATGAAATAATAATTAAATTTTTTAAAAAATAGAAAGCTTACCTGAAAATATCTGGATTGCATACATGCTCTGGATCCAGTGCTTCACCCTGCATGAACTCGTAGCACAGGCCATTATTGAAAGTACAGTATAGTTGAGGTGCACAGCCATGGGCCTGTAATACACGAAAGCTCTTCACTTCCTCATCTCGATCTACTAAGAGCTCGGTCTTATTTCCATAGATCCTAACTAGAACGACATCATCTGTTATGTCACCCACGTAGCAGCCAATTAATTTATTGGTGATTCCATCTGTGAACAGCTGAAAAGAAAAATAATGCATAAGCAACTTAAAATCTGCATCTGTATATTCAATGTGTAAGAAAGGAATGCAGTGCTGTTCCTTTGTTCACAAAACAGATGATTACTAGGTTGAGTATTAAAAAAGGAAATCTTTATGATACAGAAATATGGTGAAGAAAATTGCAAGGATTTTTACCATGCCTGGCTAGGGACATGGTACAGCACATGAAAAGAGGAACGAAAAAAAAAAGAAAACATGCTGCAGTGAACAACAGAAATACTACATAAAAGAGGCCATAACTGAAAGTTTAGTATTGTAAAATGAATTTTCACACAACTACACTGAAAATGATGGATTTAAAAAGCTGTAAATTAAAGCCCCAAACAAACCAGTATGAAAAGTCATAAATATAGGCGCACAAAATCAAAAATAATTTTGATGCACTTCAGAATTTCAGTATTTGCTGATCAGTGCACAACTAGTGCAGATACTCCTGGAGTTCTAAACTACTCACTCCTTTTAAAAAGCAAGACTCAGGTCACAAACAGTTCCAAGTTTGGTGGTTATCATCCTCCCACCAGCCTTGAGGTACTGACCGAGAGCAATTCAACATTTGATCAGTATCTTTGTCGGCTACATGGACAGTGGGATCAAGTGCGCCCTCAGCAAGTTTGCCGATGACATCAAGTTGTGTGGCTCGGTTGATACCCTGGAGGGAAGGAATGCCATCCAGAGGGACCTTGACACGTTTGTGAGGTGGGCTGATGCCAACCTTATGAAGTTTAAAAATTACAAGTGCAAGGTCCTACGCCTGGGTTGGAGCAATCCCAGGCACAGCTACAGGTTGGGCAGAGAAGACATTCAGAGTAACCCTGCAGAGAAGGACTTGGGGGCATTGGTCAATGAGAAAATGAACATAAGCCGGCAGTGTGCGCTTGCAGACCAGAAAGCCAACCGTATCCTGGGCTGCATCAAAAGGAGCGTGACCAGCAGGTTGAAGGAGGTGATCCTGCCCCTCTACTCTGCTTTCATGAGACCTCACTTGGAGTATTGTGTGCAGTTTTGGTGTCCTCAACATAAAAAGGACATGGAACTGTTGGAACAAGTCCAGAGAAGGGCCACAAGGATGATCAGGGGACTGGAGCACCTGTATGAAGACAGGCTGAGAAAGCTGGGGCTCTTCAGCCTGGAGAAGAGACCTCATAGTAGCCTTCCGGTATCTGAAGGGGGCCTACAAGGATGCTGGGGAGGGACTCTTCATTAGGTGATAATTCATTGTGATAAGACAAGGGGTAATGGGTTAAAACTTAAACAGGGGAAGTTTAGATTAGATATAAGGAAGAAGTTCTTTACTGTGAGGGTGGTAAGCTGCTGGAATGGGCTGCCCATGGAAGCTGTGAATGCTCAATCCCTGGCCATGTTCAAGGACAGGCTGGACAGAGCCTTGGGCGGCATGGTTTAGTGTGAGGTGTCCCTGCCCATGGCAGGGGGGTTAGAATTAGATGATCTTAAGGTCCTTTCTAACCCTAACTATTCTAGGATTCTATAATTCCTGAAGTTACCCTGGCTTCTCTACAATTTTGAGAAAGTACTTAAAATTCAAGACCTTAGCCTTCAGCTTCAAGCACCATGCCAAATTTAAAAGCATTTGACAAGACCCACCATCCTCACGTTGTACTTCATAACTAGTACACACCATTTAAAAGACTGAAAAGGCATTTTAAGTCTATATTATTAAGATGTACATAAATGAAATTTTTAAAGCCCTGAAATTTACTGAACCAGTTTCGCCATTGATTCATGAACATACTGAAGATAAAGCAACTAACTTTCCACAGAACAGAGCATTATGCTTATTATCTAATTACAACCTACTCACTGCTTTTCAAAAAATGATGGAGGTATGGATACTACAAGTTCCCAGCTAAGGAAAGGGGAGAGCAGACCAAAAAATACCCCATTCCTTGATGGCTGCTTGTCCTTTTACACATGATAAGGCCTAAAATAAGTTACTATACAGGCTGAACTCACGGAGATTCTACCAAACATCAGGCTAGATCCTGAGTTATTGGGCTTGATGCCTGCAAGGGTAACACAGCAGTTCTTAATTTCAAACTGCAATCCAGGACAGCTGTACAGCTCAGAAAACAGATGTCTGGCACTTTAAAAAGAACTTGCTAGCTGAGCAATACCCATACTAATGCTAGCTATTAGGCAAGTAACTTAATAAGGCATTAAGATCCTCAGGTGAGAAGAAGCTTCACAAGCAAGAATACCAATGTTTGCATGACTCCTGAACATTCTCCTGCAGTCTTAAACATAAAAGGTAAACAACTTAAAGTTGAGGTTCTCACAGCAATTGTAATTATATTCAATTTTTCTTTAGTGTTTACAGTTATGCCTCTTCTACTCCATTTCTCCCAAAACCCTAATAAAACCGAATTAAAAAAAGATTAAACCTTCCCACGATGCACAAAACCTCCTTTCAAGACCTTGCCTTAGAACAACCAGGAAGTAGATTTAAGTTGGGTAACATGCAGTTAAGACACAATTTTTCCTTGGGTGGATATCCTTCAAGCTTAACTTATCACCATTCTTTAGGAAATGCTTTGATTAAAACTACATGACAATAACAGGCAACTTCTCTACAGGTATCACTCCTTAGAACCTTGGACAATTTGGGTGTTTGGGGTCTTCTGTTTTGGTTTTTCTTGTTGTTGGGGAAGAGGGGTGGTGTTTGTGTTGTTTTCTTTAAAAGCAAAACATAATTCAGGAATTTTTACTCCTCCTAAAGTAAGCTTTATTTTTAAAAGTACTATCACTCAAACAGAAGTACCAGCTTATCTGTAAGTCCCAGAGGTTTACAGAAATCAAGCACTAGAAGCAATTTTAATTCCTTAAAAAAAAATTCAGAAGCTGGCTCAAGTCTCCCCATTTAGGAAAAGACTTTCAGAGCAGAAGATGCTATGTTTTAGCTACTGCATCTTGCTTTTCTCAGCACCCCTATGTGATGAGGTGAAAAACCTCATCAATAAATGCAGAAAAGGACTAGGGAAGGTTTAGTTGCCATCACAAATTATAGCTCAAGTTCCTGAGGAAAGATAATAGCAGAGAATATGAATGTCCTTCATTTTCTTAAATGGTTATGAACACACAATCTTGCAGAGATAGGTTTAGCATATCGGGTTACTTCCATCTATACAGGGTAACCATAAATTCATATAAACCTGCTTACTAAGTCACCCTGACTGACTCAAAATTAAGACTTCATAATTTATGGACACATTTTATTACTAGCTATTATTCTAATAACCCAGAATTAGAGACAAGTAATGAAGACTCTTGTCTAAACTGTCTTTATAGCAACTGTTACGATGTTAGTGCAAGTAAGAATACTGTATCATTTAGCATACTATCCTATTTTTTTGCTTAACACTTATCACAGATGTTTTAAGTTTTCTCCATGTACATAAGCATACCGTTGCAGCCATGCACATGCTGTATCAAGAGAGGGATGATGTGCTTGAGCAGTGTTAACCTAATTTGAACAGACAGTACTTAAATGCTTTCCAAGTATGACCTACAAATTATACCTTTATGGTACAATGTATTCATTTATAACCTTTCCCCTTCTAAGTGCATTGCTATTTAGATCACAAGGGATCTCCTGTAAATTATCTAGTTCAGATTCTTATTCTCAAGAAGGGACAAGTAAAACCAGCCACCCAGGACTGTGTCCAGCATCTCCAGGAATTCCAGACTACAAGCTGCCTGGGCAACCCACTCCAGCATTTGACCACTCCCACAGCAGGGAGACAAAAAAAAAGTGTTTTCTTGCATTCAAAACGAACTTCACATGCATTTTATGCCACACCCAGAAACTTGTCTGTCACTGGATACTGAGAAGAGTCTGGCTCCCTATTCTTCATTCCCTCCCATCAGGTATTTATACATACTAAGATCCCTGCAAGTCCCCTTTTCTCCAGGGGAAACAGTCCCATCTCCTCATAGGAAAGACACTCTTCAGGGCCATTTGCTGGACGTGCTCCAATGAGTCTGCTTATTTATCACACAGGGGAGTCAAGAACACAACACAGCACTTTAATATGGCAAAACAATCTAGAAGTACTGGTTCTTATATATTTCAGCATAAAAACAGAATTAACTCAAAAATTTTAAAGAGCATTTTGCGAAGTGATTTATATTGCACTGTCAATGAAGTTACAAAGTATCTTGTCTGCCATACTTAAAGGAAAACTGAAATGTAACACTAGAAAAAAAATCTTATCTTCTTGTTGCAGGGCCAAAAGTGAAATCTCTCTTCAATTAAGGAGGATCAAAACCACTATTTGATTTTGAAAAAAAAAAGAAAAATTCTATTGTCTTTCATCAAAGGACAAAGGCAACAAACAAAAGCAATAATTTCCAACACACAAGAGGACTATTTTAAATCATTGGAACTTGTGCTAACTACCATTTCCTACTTATAAAACAATCACCTAATAAAGCTTGCTTTTCACACCATAAAAAATTGTATTATGAAAAAGACAAGGCTCTAAGGTCATCAGAAAGAGTGATACTACCAAAAAAAACCCAAACCCCAATCCAGACATTAAGTGGTGCTGATGCAAAGAAATACTAAGAATTTGACTTGTTTATGCTGTTAAAACTTCTGGCCACTGTACAACTTCTGTCATACTGCACAGGTCTATTATCCCTTTGAAACAAATCTCATTAGTGTTAATAAAAAGAAATCCACAATAAGGAAATTGGACTCCCTCAACTGATAATTTAGGAACTCTACTTATTAGCATCTATTTGTAACATGCTGCTGTAAGTAATTATTCACACCAAGGAGTATTTTAGTTACTGCTTTTTAAAAAGGCAGAAGAGTTTGCTTACTTTTCTAAAGGCATTATTCAGAGTACACAATTTCCATATTCCATCATGAGAAAACATCCAATGTTTTCTACCAGTAAAAGAACATAACACTTTGTCCTACTCAGAATGCCTTAACC